TCCCTACAAAGCCTGAATTTTGAACTTTAATTACTACCATACAAGACGAAGGGACATGTGCTTTAGAGAAGACATGTTATGATGCAATCTCTGAGTAAATTATTTTAATACAAGTACAGTGAATAGCAGAGACGGCTGTTGATAAGTGTCCAATCAGTAAATGTAATAGTGCAATCAGGAACTGATTATCCCCAGTGTATAAACAATTAATTCCTGTGAATCAAGTTCTTAATAATCATTAATATTGATTAGAAAGTAAAATTATTTCACAGGAAGTCCATCCGTTTGGTCACATAAACAATTTGTGCATTTTAGTGCATTTGTAACTCAAATATAAACCAAGATTATTAGATCCACCAGTGTTGTTTAGGGATGTGGGAGAGTGAAATATCACAATGATCTTACACTCCACCTGTTTGAACTGGAGCTCATGAAGAATGTGATTAAAATGGAAATGTTTAGCTGCATGCCTACAGATGTATGGCTCTCATTTCCTTCCATAAAATTAATCTTTAGAATGTCAGAGTGCTATGGATCCATATAATTACATCTTACAAACGGCAAATCTCACTGGACAGATCCACAGTTCTGATTTCATAAATTATTATCTGTACAAGATATGGCAGATGCATTAGCACAGCTGGTTTCTCATTAGAGTCTAAAAAAAGTGCCTATAGTGCCTCAATTTTGAAGAGTCTTGAAGGAATATTCTGGGTTCAGTACAAAGGTGCCCCTCCTTTTCTTTCGAAAAAGCAAAAACTTTTTTTCACAGTGAAAGAATTTTAGTGTCAAAAACCTCTTACGAACTATTTCTCTGTACAGTTATATTACATTTTAAATCCATTACCATGCAAAGTAAAGCCTAAAACCCTAAAATGCCTGTAAACATGATGTAAATAGCTTCACAGCTCAAATAACACACAAATTTTAACAGAATAAATAATTTAAGTGCATTTGTAATATTATAGATATGTATGCTTTTAAATCCTAAAAAATAAGCCTCCTCTACTTTATACTTTAACACTGTTTTTTGTGGTAATAAGGAAAAAAGGTTGATCTTAATATGTATTGAACCAGGAATATTCTGTTTAATTTACTTTTGACCACTTTCTTAAATGTATACCAGTGAAGACAATGAAAAGAACAAACAAACAAAGCATGCAGTCAAGCATAAGGAGTTTAATGACCCCACAAAAAAGTTGTGTACTTGCTCCTAAAACAACTGAAACCTACAGTCACTAAGATCTTAAATTTAAATATCTGAATAAAAGTCCCAGTTGGTCTTTGTATCAGGGGTGTATGCAGGATTTGCTCTTTGGATTGGTCTCCAAAATTGTGCATTGTGGCTGGGTGGGTATGAATGCCGGTCCATGCTAGCCCACCCGGAGTTATGTGCCTGCTTTGTACGCACAGTTGTGGGTAACTGCTCAATGCATCTGTGGTGGCAAAGATCTTTAGGATCTTTTGGGTCTTCACACACATTATGTTCCCATGGTGATAATGGCAAGCAAAAGGTAAAAAAAAAATAAAAAAGACTTATGGTCCACTTCATTTACTTCAAAGAAATCACATATTAGTCTTCCATCTCCCCTACTGTTGTGGGAATTTTTGCAAGACCTAGTAGTGCTGAATTAAAAAGGCAGGGAGTTGAAGGAGATGGAGATTCTAACTCCAGCTCCAACATTAGTCATGTCATGCAATAGTGAATGCACAGCTAAATAAATAAATATACACACACGATCCTTCAGAAATCATTCTAATATGTTAATTTGGTGCTCAATGTTTTTATAATATAAATGATGTGCTGTTTAATATTTTTGTAGAAATTGATTTTTTCAAGATTCTTTCATGAATGCCCATAGACAGCAATGTAATTACCTCGATCAAGGTCCAGAAACGTGGCAAGGAGATCAGTAAAATAATCCATGTGACATCAGGGGTTCAACCGTAATTTTACGAAGCTACGAGAATACTTTTTGAGAGCAAAAGAAAAATAAATAACGACTTTATTTAACAATTCGTCTCCTCCGCATTACCCTAGCGCCATTTTGGAGAGTATCCACTGAACGTAAAGTGATCCACTGTTTTGTGTCAGCTGTGCCACGCGGATACGCTGTTTACGTTGTTTACGCTTTGATTTGAACGAAAGCATACGCAATTTGCGTTCAGTGGATACTTTCCAAAATGGCGCTAGGGTAATGCGGAGAAGACAAATTGTTAAATAAAGTCGTTTTTTTTTTCTTCTGCACTCAAAAAGTATTCTCGTAGCTTCGTAAAATTACGGTTGAACCCCTGATGTCACATGGATTATTTTACGGATGTCCTTGCTATGTTTCTGGGCCTTGATCGTGTAAGGACCCTTGCTGTCTATGAAAGGCAGTGCTCTGAATTTACAAAACATGAGATTTTGCCAAAACTATCTTCTCTGGAACAAATAATAGATTAATGAAACCAAAGACTGCCCATTAGATTTACCCAAAACGAATTACATCTCATGTTTAACCACTACAAAGACATCAGAGCCAGCGGTAAATTCCAGAAGATCTGGCCGAGGTGAGGCGCTCTCGGGCAGCATCATGAGCGCAAAACTGCCGCTGACCATCTGGAGCTCACATGTCCGAAAACGTTGAAGCAAATTTTAAAATAGACGTTAACAAACTGCATATTGTACTGGATTTGGGCGTCCGCCATGACACTCGCTGTAAGAGGTACCGCAAGCGGAGGGATACGATTACAAACTGTGAAACGGCTGGGAGTTATTGGGGTGGAGTTCTGATATCACTCTAATATCGCACTCTTATCAGCCAATCAGATTCAAGGACCAGAAAGAACTGTTGTATGTAGTATATATATATTTATTTATATTAAGGCCACAGCATAGTACAAAATAAAGCACTAATTGTACACGCTGTACGTGCACTGCACTCTGAACTACCAGCACCAACGTGTTTCTGAGGACTTTCATTCAGCATTTACAACTACAACCGCAGGTGGTTGCCCAATGCATTGGCTACCACCTTAAAGGATTCAATAAACGGCTCTCCCCCGTAGCAACATGTACAGACTTGTGCTGGGAGCAATTAAAACATCAACTTCCATTTCCCTCCTCTGAGCTTTCCCCTATTTCATGCACTGTACATGCTGAGTAAATATTTGAATTGCCTATCCACCTTCAAAAGAATCCACACAGAGAGGCAGAAAGACGTAAAGCAGTGATTAAGTGATTTCGTCATACTTACACATTTGTTCATGATGGCAGGAGATTTACAGTGGTGTTTGTAGATCCTGTGCTATAAACATTTTCAGTGAATTTTTGTAAACAGTGTTCATGGAATAATAAGGATGCGAAATGTTAACAGTCAAACAAACATGTTTGCTATATTTCTCATCTACACACAATAGTTTGGGGTGCAGAACAGACTGAAATTTACGTTGTTATTCCAATATGTCCAATTCAGTCTGATTCACTAAATCAATTGAAGTAGTTCACTGCAAAACCAGTCTGCAAGGCTGCATCCAAAACAGCAAACTTCCATATATGTGTATAGTAGATGTGAATGAAGTAATTATCCAAATTTACAGTGTTCCTACTATTTCCAGTGAGATTTGAAAGTGTATATCTAATGAACACTTTACTATTTGTGAATGGCAAGCGACACATCTGATTTTGATAGGTCACATGACAATGACATCATGAAAAATTTTGTACTTCTTGATTGCATTCATACTCATATAGAACATACTTTTTAATGCCCGTGAGGAAAAAGAGAATGCAATTTCGGACGCAGCCTATGATTCATTTGCGAACTGCAATCAGTTCTCGACTTCAACTCACTAATACAATGATCACAGCGATACCTCGGTTAACAGCTCACCAAGAGGTTGATTAAGAGTGAATAGGCTTTTACATTTTTATAATGAAAACTGTAGGTTTTTGTAAATAATGTTTACTCTGTTGCAACAAAACTGTTTAGAGCACCAGCAACAGTATAAACGAGTTGCTTAAACTCTTTTTTTATTTAGTATTAACATTAACTCTCTATTTATGTGCAATAAAAGTTCTTTTGTTTCTGCTCAGCGGGCCTACGTGACATTTATAAAGTCCATTCAAAACGTACAAACAAAAAAAAATAATGCGCTGTGTATATTTTAACAATGTTTGGTTAAGATGCCTCTGCATTTGTGAATGGCTGAGTGAAACGTGGATAAGATTTTAATTAAATCCTCTGTTTATTCTGAAATGCAGTGTAAATAAACACATTTTGTTCATAGACCATCGGCTTTGCATCAGTTTCTGTTATATAGCATAGAAAACTAGGCCAAAAAATAATCAGAAAAATCATGCCGTTAGAAATGAATTCTTGGGCACCCCTGATCTAATACAATTTAAATATTTGGGTGTGCTTCGTGATCAGCGTTTTCAGATCTGTTTATTATTATTATTATTATTATTATTTATGTATTCATTCATTCACGAAAAAAAGACATCAATTATCTTAATTAGCCCGCATGCCTAATAAAATGCGACTGAATATATATATACACACATTTTTTTTTACATTTATTTACAATTTTTGGTGACAAGTACTTTTAAAATGTACTTCGTATTTTGCAATAAAAAATAAATTTTTATGTAATTTATTTATTTTTAATAATTATTTGTATTAACCTTTTTGCTGATAAATGTACTTGTAAAATGTAGTTTTTATTTTTAAATTTAATTACATTTTTATTAAAAAAAATTTATTCAGTTATGAATATATATATACACACACACACACACACACACACACACACAGCGAATACAAACAGATGATTTAACTCTGGTGGCATTGTTGCCATTGTTAATTTCTGCACAACATTTATTTATTATTAAAAAAATACTTTACTGTCTTTTCACTGTACGTCCGCTACTGACTTTTATTTTGACATGTTTCCTCAGCCGGTGACATTTATACGGTGCCTTAAACGTTCTCCCTTCACAGTTTATTATGCAGTGATTGTATAACAAGTTCACATGCTAGATAGTAGTACACAGCAAAACTAAAACGAGATCTTAATGGATTCACGTTAAACGAATAAATCATTTAAAAGAGTCGGGTCGTTGTGAAGGTTTGTTGTTTATTGTTGTGCTTTTTAAAAGTCTGAGTTGAATTGAAGGCTACCAACAATAATAATATGCTAGCAGTTAGCATTCAGCACACAACCCTATACTATAAGATAAATCACCCTTTAAATAATTTTAAACTTGAAATGATATAATCAAACATCAATATAACCACATTTGCCTTCAAATTAATCTGTGTATCGCGTTGGTAGCTGTTGTAGTGTTCTGTTATTGTGTATGACTTTTGTTATGGTCGTTAACGGTGTAATTGTTCAATACAGATGTTTTCACCATTATAAATAGATATTTATGACAGAAAATTTATCTTTAAAATGTCATTCCTAATGTAAGCTATTATTATTCAACGGTTTCTCTGTTATTAAAATACTTTTACTTTGGTGTCTAAGTAATAAAACATATCCAAAGTTTACAGTCTTAGATGATCCTTATTCACAGTTACTTGGCAATGCCAGTAGAAGGTAACAAGGACCAGGCCCTGGCTCCCCTGTCCAGCCCTGTCAGCGCCCTTACTCCTGGAGTCCAAGAAGACAATGGCCTTTCCATCCCCGGAAGCAGCAAGGAAGAGCCAGTGGCTACATGTCCAGAGAATGTTGGGTCACAAAATCCTAGAAAATCCCAGGCCCTGCTCCAGATCAACCGTCAGGAGATCCAGTCAGTGGACCGCAACTCTCAGGCTGCTGAGCTGCAGGGATTGGGAGTGGATGTGTATGACCAGGATGTTCTCGAGCAAGGTGTGTTGCAGCAGGTGGACAGGGCCATTCAGGAGTCCAACCAAGCAGCAGCCAAAGCTGAGGCCGAGAAAGAATATGAGTCTGTACTGGATGACGTCAGGTGAATTTAAGCTTGCTTTATTGATCTTGAAACAGTGCATTATGTATGTCTGTCAAAAATAATTTTGTTGGTTTGTAATGCATTTCAGGTCATGTACAACTGCTTTGAAACACATCAACAAAATTTTAGAGCAGTTAGCCCCTCATGCTGCCTCTAGCAAAGACATCAGTAGGAAAATTGAGTCTGTCAAACGACAAAAAGAGAACAAGGTAAGCATAAACTGGACTATTTATTTATTTATTTTGCTTGGTTTAGCCGGTACCACTATGGATTTTATGTTGTTGGAAATGTATCCGATCAAATGAGAAGGCTTAATCCATTTTAAATTATTATTTTAAATTGATATTTTATATTAAATATATTTTCACTTTAGTTTCCTAATTAGATAAGAGCTTATAATATTTCAATAATGTGTTTCTTTTTGAAAATCCTTACTATACAATACTTCAGAAGTCTGTTGTCTTTTACAGGAGAAGCAGTTAAAAAAGATCAGAGCCAAGCAGAAGAGATTGCAGGCTGTTCTTGATGGAGAGGATATCCAGAAGCTTGAGGCAGAATTATTGATTGAGGATGACGAAGGTAAGTTTGAAGCACGGTTTCTTTCAGAAGCTTTAGGTGCATTATTAGCCTTAACATTTAAATGTATTGGAGCATCATATGCTCTTTTGATCTGGCTGAACAATCATTTTGTATATACAATGGGCGTTACATATTTTACACTAAAATGTTTGTGTTTTGTAAAGTTTTCTTATTGTATTTCTTTTAATATTAGTTGTAATATGCTTGTGTAGGACTAATAGTGGTATTTATACAATAGTGGTTCTGCCTAGAGGGGCGTCTGGAGTTTGTTACAATATTTGTGTTTTTTATTTTTATTTATTTACCTTATTTTAACTAGATATTGTTTTCTAGACATATAAAAACTTCACAGCTTATTGTCAGTTTATGAGAACTCGATGACCTAAAATAAATTGTAATATTGACAATTATAGTTGTTAAATGTTAAATAAAATTAATATCAAATTCAAAAATAGATGTAAATCATGCACAATTTGAACATTCAAAAGTGCTTTATGCTAAGTGTTTCCAGAGCCGATTCATTCATGAAAAACACTTTCTAAACATTTAAACAAAATATTACAAAATGTCTGCATCATGGAAACATATATATAATTTAATTTCTCTTACTGTCTTTCTTTCAATGTTTGCTATAATATGGTATTGTGTGCCTAACAGTGGTACTATTCTACACTGTTTGCATCTGTTAGAACCAGGCCCATCCACTTTGGGCAGCATGCTTATGCCAGCTCAGGAGTCTGAATGGGAAGAGCTCATCCGCACAGGTCACATGACCCCCTTCGGTTCACGGATCCCTCAGAAGCAAGAGAAGAAAAAGCCTCGAAAGGTTATGCTCAGCGAGAACTCCGGATTCGACAAGTACCTCGCCGACCAAGCCATGTTAGCGGATAGCAGGAAGAGACCCATCTTAAAGAAGAAGATCACTAAGAAGCACTCAGGACAGACCACAGGTGGCAAAGAGCAAAAGAACAGATCGCTCTCCAGCAAAGAAAAGAAGCTCCAAAAGCGAATGCGTAAGCTCCAGAGGACCGCCCTGAAGGCTCACCCCAAAGCCAGGCCCAAGGTGGAGAAGGAGCTGCCCCGAGCCAGGAGGAGGAAAGGCGATGGGGAGCAGACGTCCGACAGCGAGGGTTCAGAGTACGTCCCGAGCGATGAGCTGATGGATCCCGAGGAACCAGAGAGAGATGATGATGAGTTCTGGGTGGATGAAGATGAAGAATACCAACTTAAACCATACAAGAAGAAGAACCAGGCCAAAACCAGGAAGCCCAAGAAGGAGGATGAGAGCAACGAGTACATCCCTAGCAGCTCAGAGGATGAAGACTCTCAGAAAGGAGGAAAAGTCAAGAAATGTAAAGATGATGGAGATATTGAGTATTACAGGCAAAGGATTAGGTAAGTTTAGTCTGAATCCATCATTTCATAAACCGTCCCAATCATTACAGTCAAAGGCCATTCATATGTTTAGTTACTTTGCCTAGCATGTATGCTAGAACAGATAACCTAATCCACTGATGAGATTGGCAGCTGTTTTTTGACTAAGCAAATTCTATGCCTATTCATATTTTCTCATTATGGTATGCATGCATGTATTTATTCCAATGTTAATGTGCAAATAGATGGAAGCAAACCTAACAAGATTTATGCATTCGTATTTATAGTAAGCAAATTGAGTTGGCATACGCTCTCTCTCCATATTTCTCCGCTCTGGTTGGTTTAAATGTGAATGCGGCCACTCATTTCTGCTATGGTGGAGCGCAAGCAATGCCGAGCGGTGGAATAAAGGGGGGAAAAACGTAATTAACTGAACCAATGCTTAGTCTTGACTTAATTACAAGTGCAGTCTCGGAAGCCCCAGATAAAGGGAACAGTTTCATTGCGGAGTGACAGGACCAACCCCAAATGAAGATGGATTTTTTTTCCCTACACTCCTCTCTGTGTACCTTTCTTGGGGAGCTCAAGCTCCTAATTGTCTGTATCAATCTTAATTTGCTTTTCTGACGACACTGCCACTAACTGCTGTAGCTTTCCCTGAAGCCAGAAGTGGGTCAATTAAATCTGGCCTGCTGGAATGAGGGGCAGAGGAAGGGAAAGGTCTCCCGCTCTCTCTCTCTCTCTTCGGTTTCTGTCTTTGTCTGTCTGTAGTTCTTTGGCTAGGAAATTAAAAACCGAGGCCGGGGACTTTTGGTACCTTGCAAACTTTCCCGTAGGAGGCATCTTTAACAGAGTCAGATTTTAAATGTCAGCAGCAGACTGTTTTAGTTTAAGATTGTTAATCAAATACGTTATGTGAAGTCTTCAGTATGGGAAATGTCTGTGGGGTCTGTCGTTCAACGTGACACTGTGTCCACACCAGTCGGTGGTCCGTTTCTATTTTAGACATGCAACACAGCTACTCGAGCCATTTTGCTACTGAACTGTAGCCTTGTGCTTAGTGGTCGACCAATATTAATTTTTGGATCCGATGTCATGGAGAGCAGGATGGTTGTAGGCCAATATAAAGCAGATATATATGATATTGTATATCACAGTTAATATAAAGACAATAAATAGCACAGGCTGCAGTGAAATTTATACTTCACATGATATGAAAATTATGTACTACAAAATAAAAAAACAAAACTACTAAAATAAAAATATATTTATACTTTTGATAGCAGTTTCTTGATTCTGTAATCCTAATATTTTTCACAAATAAAGAAATAGTTCAAACATGACTAAAAAGGAAGTACACTCAGTAATCTGTTAAGACTGTGTGCACTGGGAATCATATTCAGGTAATACTAATTTTACATAAAGTACACAGTGAATGTGACATAGCGGCAAACTGGATGTAGCTCAGCTTAGTTTGAAATCAACTTGTTAAAAATCAGCCAAAAAAACAATTTGGCCAATGGGATAATTGAAAAAGGACAAATATTGACAAGGCTGATATATATTGGTCAACAACTACTCATGCTTAATGCTGATTGGTCTATATTGGTGAATGTTCAGTGATGATGTTCAGCTTCAAAGGGCTTCAAGTTGATGCCAGTAATGGTTTTGTTGTGGTTTTGTCTTCTTGCAGGAAGTGGAAAAGGCAAAGACTTCGGGAAAAAGAGGCGAAGAGAGAAGCAGGAGAGGATGAGTCCGAGGAGAGTGAAGCAGAATTTGATGAAGGATTTAAAATGCCTGGTTTCCTCTGGAAGAAACTCTTCAAGTATGTCTCACACAAATCACACATACTCTCATAATGAAAGAAAAGAATCAATAAGTCTTGTTTTCTTACACATGCGCATACAATGTGAAATATTAACTGTGTACAGAAATTTTATGAGTCCCGAAAGCTGAGCTGTAAATGAGGGGAGGGGTGAAGTGCTTTAGACTTGGAAAGAAGGACTCGGCTGTTGTGTTCTAGTTGTGTTTTACAGCACATCAATTGGGCAACACTTATGGCCCATTTATCCAGAATCAATAGTGATAATGGCCCTATGATTAATTCATCAGCCACTGTGTTTGTGTTTGTGCTGGGGCTGCGTTTTGTGCGATAAAACGTTTGCTTTTGTTGTCCAGGTATCAGCAGACAGGTGTCGGGTGGATGTGGGAACTGCACTGCCAGCAAGCAGGAGGCATTCTGGGAGATGAGATGGGCCTGGGCAAGACCATCCAGATAATTGCCTTCCTGGCAGGCCTGAGCTACAGCAAGCTAAAAACACGTGGCTCCAATTACAGGCAAGGGACTCCACATGGTCATACGTTTTTAGTTTGTTTATCTACTGTATTTATGGAAATTTGTTTCAACTTAAACAAAAGTAAAAATAAAAAGGGCTAAAAAAACATTTTCTATCTATCTATCTATCAGCAGCTGGATTTCTGGTGGAGAGAGGTTTGGCGTGAATTATTAAAGACGTTTCAATTATGATATTCCTCTAATTCTCTTAGTGGCGACATCAAAGGAGAAACAAGGACGTGACATGAAAGAGAGACTGCTTGTTGGGCAGGGAGGGGGGAAAATTAAACATGAAACATGTAATTAAACATGTTTAAAGTAATGCCTTTTTTACTTTTTTTTGCTTTTCTTGCCATACACACTCGGGGTGGAGGCCCTCCTGGATGGTCAATAAGCTGTCTGGCGTCGCCCATCCGCAAATTGATTGTTTGCAAACTCAATTATGGCTCGCTATCAATGGCTTTCACAATCCAGAATATCATATCAAGCCAGCAGCTGGATTTCTGGTGGAGAGAGGTTTGGCGTGAATTATTAAAGACGTTTCAATTATGATATTCCTCTAATTCTCTTAGTGGCGACATCAAAGGAGAAACAAGGACGTGACATGAAAGAGAGACTGCTCGTTGGGCAGGGAGGGGGGAAAATTAAACATGAAACGTAATTAAACATGTTTAAAGTAATGCCTTTTTTACTTTTTTTTGCTTTTCTTGCCATACACACTCTGGGTGGAGGCCCTCCTGGATGGTCAATAAGCTGTCTGGCGTCGCTCATCCGCAAATTGATTGTTTGCAAACTCAATTATGGCTCGCTATCAATGGCTTTCACAATCTGGAATATCATATCAAGCCATAATGATCCCAAA